AAATTGTGCTCCGCGGCCCCCCCCCCCCCCCCCCCCCCCCCCACACACGCCCCTAAATTTTGGGTCATGCATTTGTTTTTTTTTTTTTTTTTTTTTTGTCAAAAGCATCTTTGGAAGTTTTCTCCCAGGGAAGGGGTTATTCATGCACACAAGAATTTGATAATTGTGTCGTGAGAAAACCAAATTCTTTTCAGAGAAAGGAACACATGTTCAGAAAACCTATGGAAAACTTTGAGTCATGCGGATATAGATCCTGATCGCCTCAAGAAAATAAAAAGACCTTCAGTTTGTTAATAAGTTGGTATGAGAGTGCAGCAACAGCTAAAATGCAAATAGAACAACTAAAATGGCCAATTGTGTTTTTTTTTGGGCTCTTGTCTTCAGTTAATGGGTATTTAGAGAAGAAAAGTCGTGATGCTGAGCGTTCTGCACTCGTTCCACATCAGGGTTCTATTCAGCATTCAGAGCATGATCTTGGGAAAGAATTTTGTATGCAGGCCAGAATGAATGAGCATACCCCCCCCCCCAATGAACCACGGTGAAATAGTGGCTCTCCGTTTCAAAGAACCAATACGTTTTTTTTATGTTAAAATGTTTCTGAGTTGAGGTCTGGGATCTGATCTGGGTGCTTTATCTGTGTTTTGTTGGTGACTTACAATTTTTTTTTATTACGTGGGAGCAGTTTCACTTCAGTTCTGAGTTTGTGACCAGTCATGCTGCCACATTCAACTTTTGCTTATTTTTATGTGTACGACTTGCAAAATTCTAATCTAAACCAACTTTGTAATCATTTTGGCAGCTGTCCCCACTTTTATAATTTAATCTACTGGAATTTTTCTTCTTTCGGCTGCTCCCTTCCTCGGGGGTCTCCACAGTGAACTAACTCGCACTAAGACTTGACAATTGTTTTGACGCCGGATGCCCTTCCTGACACAACAGACCACCGAGCTACCACAGCCCTCTGTGTGGAGCCCACCTTCTTTACTCCCCACCATTTAATCTGCTGGAGTAAGCTTTTGAAATAAATAGTGGCAGATTTGGACCTGTTTTTGTTTAAATAGTTATTGAGCAGCGCCATGAACGTCTAAAGACATTTTTGGGACTCCTCCTTAGTTCACAGTTTAGGTTCTACCTTAACTTTAATAAAGTTTCACCCCCACTCTGTACCCACGAGATGCCAGTTAATTATCGCTGCTCTAAAGCACCCCTTTTGCCCCAGAAAAAAAGTTTTCAACTTCTAATTTAAATGCTGAACACAAAAAATCAGATCCTGCAAAACATTTGCCATTCATTCTCACTCTCTAACAGCTACTCCCTCTTGAGTTTATCAGCGTTTTCAGTCTGAAGGTGACAAACGTTAAGTTCTCTGAAAGTGATCGAGTTAACTCTGAGCAGCCAACCAGTGGAGACATCAGGAAGTTTGACGTTCACATTACTGGGACGGATGCACAGAGCCTTTTAAAACAGCAGAGTGTGCTCTCATGGGTGGATTAAGGAGCGAGACGTGTCAACAAAGAAATCCGGACAGAAAATGGAACGCGTCAGAGCAGAGTTTGAATGCAGAGCACCTCCTAATGCACAAACATTTTTATCTCGGTTTACACAAGCACGTGAAAACCACTGCATCCTCGTTTGATCTTTAAAGGTTTGGTTTGTGCTGTTTCTGAACAGCGCGTTCACCTGAATCTTCAGAATACTTCCCCAATGAGCACATTTCTTATGCATGTGTGCGAGTTTTTATCCTTCTTTGGCTGCGTTATTATTATTTTTATCATGTAAATGAAATCGTAGCTTTTTTTCCCCCAGAGATTTTTCTTTTACCTTGACTCAACACAATTCTTATCCTATTTTTGGTATATCTGAGTGACGAGACAGTGTGTGTGTATCCTGCTCTGTTGGCAAGTTCATACTTCCACTAAGACGAAGGTGTTTATAAAACTTTTGTAATTCATCCAGGTCCGGTGCTTCATATGCAACATTTAGAGGGATAAGTAAAAACAAATAATGTTTAATTCACCCGTCTATTTGTTTGGAGGCTATGTATGACACTTATGTGTTGTGACGTGGGACAATTGTTCATATATTAAAGCAATAAATTAGTGAGATGTGTGGTGGTAATGAAAAATCAGATTAATGTCCTGTCAGATCCATTTGCCTGTGACTCTGTCATCACCTTAATAGGTGTAACCTTTTCCACAGGTAAAACGAAGAGGGGTTTTGTTGTGACTTAAACGTTAGGCCAAATAATTGTTCATTTAAGACCTTTTTTGTCTTCATGTGGATGGTGACCGAGCAGAGAACTCATTAGTAATGTAGCTCCTCAGATCTTTGTGGTGTGTTTTGGGCTCATCGTCCAATTGCAGAGTAAATTCTTCTTCATAAATTTGTTCACTTGTCGATGTACATCCAGAGATTATTTTCAGAGTTTCATTAAAGCCTGTGCAGTAGTTCAAGAGATATTTTGCTAACAAAGAGGGTTGACTCCAACAGTTAAGGTTATAGTTCAGAGCAGTGATTCCCAACCCTGGTCCCTGAGGAACACCGTCCTGCATGTTTTAGTTTCCCTGCTCCAGCACACCTGATTCAATGATTAATTACTTCTTCGAGTTCTGTGCATTCCTGTTAATCACCCATTTATTCAAATCAGGTGTGTCAAAGCAGGGAAACAACTAAAACATGCAGGATGGAGTTCCTCAAGGACCAGTGTTGGGATCCACTGGTTTAGAGCAAAGGTGTTGCACAATGAGGAGCATGTGGAGTATGGGTTGTAGATGACTCGGCTACTACCACAACAAACTTTAGCTCAGTGTCTGTAAAATTAACTGAATTATAGGTATTTTTGGTATTTTCTATAATCAATTGTCTGTGGCAGCCATATTGAATTAAGTTGGCTCTGAAGGTAATGAGTTGTAGGCATCCATTCAATGATGGCAAGTTTCATTAAAGTTTTTCAGAGTCAGAGTTTCTTTATTGTCATTCGCACCTCATGTGGTACATGTGGTGGAGCGAAATTATGTACACGGGGTCCCAGTTACATCCAACAATAAAATGTCTAAGAAAAACAGTAATAACATCTAAGATATGAACTAAGAAAAACATCAACTAAATATACACTAAGCACTCATAACATAAAACATTGAACATCAGCACAAACATGAACATGAGTCTGTGAGCAGATGTGCACGCATGAACACATCAACATTGAAACAGATCAGCAGCAACATGAAACAGATCAGCAGCAACATGATATGTTTTTTCACAGTGATTATTCTAGTTAGAGATTCATGAGTCTAACAGCCTCAGGGTAGAAGCTGTTCCTCAGTCTAGTGGTTCTACACTTAATGCTCCTTAACCTCCTTCCTGAGGGGAGTGGGGCAAAAAGTGTGTGTGCTGGGTGGGTGGGGTCCTTCATGATGCAGGTGGCCCTCTTCCTGCATCTGGAGGAGTAGATGTCTGTGATGGTGGGGAGACTGATTCCAACAGATTTCTGTGCAGCCTTGTCCCACAAACCACTTTTCCAGTGGTTTGTGGGACAGTTTAATAAAAGACAAACATTAATATTGATCCACTTTCAGCTTTCATTAAGAGACAAAAGTGATTTGATTTTATTTGCTAGATTTTCACTTGAATGCAACAAGTATTCTGGCTGTGCAGGTAAACGTGCACGCTGCACTGATTTGACAGAAGCATTAATCAAACTTTGATTCACATCTTTATTCGTCTGTGAACTAAAAGTTATTTCTCTAAAGCCACATCTAGACGGCCCACTTTTGGGTGTCAGGATCTGTATTTCAGCTGTTGTTATGTTCTTTGAGTTTATTTTTAGATTTATTACCTCCGCGGTTGTCGTGGTTCTATTTTTATTTTTAAACCAAAACAAAAAGATGGCGTGGCAGCAAACTTACAGATTCTCTGGAGAAGAACCAAGTAGACCGAGGTTTAAAACCAACAATGCACTGCTGAGGTGGATACGTGAGCAGAATGAATAATCAGAGCAAGGCAGACGAGGTATTAATAACACCTGAGCTAACAACAGACAGAACAGGTGAGACTGGCCGGCTGATTTAGAAAAACACGAGGAGCTGACTGAGGATGAGTGAGAGATGACAGAGAACACACGGGAGGAATGAGACTGATCAAAACCACACAGACTGATCCGGATCTGAACTCAGGGAAACTAAGTGATTGGGTAAAAACACAAGTACCAGAACTCAAACACAAGAACCCGAGAACACTGAAAGTTAGGTTTGTTTTCTAAAGCTGCTTGAGTTCTGTCTGCGTTCTGGGTCCTATCCTTCCTCCAACGGCGCTACTGAGAGGACTAATCACTGACTCAGTCTGCATGTTCTTTTGTTTGGTTGTGATAAAGTCGTTTCTTTTTCTCCAATTGAACAGATGTATCGATCTCCTGATGGCGAGGATGTTTTTGGAGGCCCGAGTGTGATCTGGATGTGATCTGTTCAATGTTCACAATTTGTTCTGAAGTGCCACGTTCTGCACGCACAGTCTGAGAAAACTCTTCTGCGTTTTGAATAACAATGTGAAATCTCATCTACATTATCTCTGAAGACTTCCTAAAGGTTTTCCCTGTGTTCACCAAAGTCCATGCTTAAT